AAGAAGAACAGACATATAGAACAAGGGAACAGGATAGATTCCAGAAGCAAAACTTCAGTTTCTCAACTAACTCATCTTTGGCAAAGCCTGCTCCAACAATCACTGGGGAAAGGAGAAGCTATTCAGTAAATGGTGCTGGGAAAACTGGCTGACTACATGCAGGAGACTGAAACAGGACCCCTACCTGTCACCATTCACAAAAATCAACTCTAAATGGATCAAAGACTTAAGTGTAAAACCTCAAACTACAAGAATCTTAGAAAATGCAGGCTATACCCTCAGGCAATCAATTCCTGATTAAAATCCCAAATGCCCATGCCATATGAGATAAAATAGACAAGTGGGACCTCAACAAACTGAAAACCCTCTGCAAAGCAAAAGAAACCATCAAGGGGGCAGGGAGACAAGCCCACAGAATGGGAAAATAATTGCCAACTGTATATCTGACAAAGGCCTAACACCAGGATCTACAAGGAACTCAAACATGCTGAAAGGAAAAAAAACTAATAGCCCTATTAAAAAGTGGGTAAAAGATATGAATAGACACTTCTCAAAAGAAAAAATACAAGCAGCCAACATATACATGAAAAAATGCTCAACCTTACTAGTCATCAAAGAAATGCAATTAAAACTACACTGAGATACCACCTAACTCTAGTCAGGATGGTCATCATCTATAACTCAAAAAACAACAGATGCTGGAAAGGATGCAGGGAAAAGAGAACGCGTCTATACTGCTGGTGGGAGTGTAAACTAATACAACCTCTGTGGAAAACAATGTGGCGATTTCTAAAAGATCTAAAAATCGACCTTCCATATGACCCAGCCATCCCCCTTGAAAGAATATATCCAGAGGAACTCAAATCATTGTACAAAAAAGATACCTGTGCACGCATGTTTATTGCAGCACTATACACAATAGCAAAAACATGGGACCAGCCATGCTGCCCATTGAAAGAGAACTGGATAAAAACATGTGGTACATATACACAATGGAATATTACACAGTCATAAAGGACGAAATTATGAACTTCACAACAACTTGGATGGATTTAGAGTCTATCATACTCAGTGCTCTATCACAGAAGCAAAGAACTGAGTAGCACATAATCTCACTCATAAATTGATCCTGAGCATTTATCATAATTCTACCTGAAAGGGATTGGCAGTAGTGGGATGCTGCCAGGAGGTGTGGGGGGAGGGCATAACACTAATAAGGGTACCTGATCTCAAACCACGCAAAGTAGGAACCAAAGGGAGACCAAAACTTTACCTGCATGATGACCACTCTTCTACCTAATCCTAAATTGTACCCCACATATTTAAAATTAAAATAATAATTATCACATAATCCAGTAATCCTACTTCTGGTTATATATCCAACAAGTTGAAATCAGCAGATTGAAGAGATATCTGCACTCCCATGTTCATTTTAACATTATTCACAGTAGCCAAGATAGGGAAGCAATCTAAGTGTCTGGCAATGAATAAATGGATTTTTAAAATGTGGTATACACAATAGAATACTATACATACTTTAAAAGGAAATTCTGTCACTTGCAATAACACAGATGCAAGTGGAAGACATTATGCTAAGTGAAATGAATCAGGAGTAGAAAAAATACTATATGATCTTATATGTATAATCTTAAAAAGTCAGTATCATAGAAACAGAATAGAAAAATGGCTACCAGATGCTGGGGTTAAGGGAAGAGATGAGGAAAAAAGAAGATGCTAATCAAATGTCATAGTTTTAGTTAGACCAGAGTTTTAAGTTTTAATGATATATTGCATGGCATGGTGATCACAGTTAATAATATATATTTCAGAATTACTAAATTAGATTTTAACATTTTCACCACAAAAAAAAATGATAAACTGATGTGACAGATAGATGTTAATCAGCTCAACTGAATCCATAATGTATACATAGATGAAAACATCACATTGTATCACATAAACATACACAATTGTCTGTGGATTGAAAATAAATGACAGGAAAAAAGAGAGAGCATTTTATACAGGTTCAAGTATATAATCCGACTTACTCATTATTAAACCTCCAACTGAAATCTGTTGCTCTATTCTAATGATTTTAAAGACAAAATTTGCTAGATACACAAAAAATGAAATTATTTTTTGGAGGATGGGCCCCTTGAAGTACAGGCTTCTAATAGGTAAATGTTCTAGAAACCTGCAGGCATCAGCGTACCAGCTACCATTACTTTGAGAAGCTTTGTTTGGCATCAGTGAATTCTTTTTAAGATTCTGTCAACCTGTTTGCTAATTTTATGACGAGTGATTTATGAGTGCACACTGCTGAGTGTCCAGTAGTTTTTGCCCCAAAATGGCATGAGCCCTGTGCCCCACCCTCCCTATTCACCTGATCTTGCCCTGAGTGACTTTCTGTTTTTGTGTTTCCCTGGATGAAAAAAGTCCTCAGAGGGAAACATTTTGCCATTGTGGTAGAGGTGAAACAAAAAACGGCAGAAACACTAAAAGGCATCAAAATTGATGAGCTCAAAAACTCTTTAAGCAGTGGAAAAAGCATCTCAATAGGTATATTGCATCAAATGTAGAGTACATTAAAGGTGACTAAAGTTTAAACATGTAAGAATACACAATTTTAAATAAATTTTTGGTTTGGGGGGCTTCCCCTTTCATATGCAATACTAACATATCTAAATCTGCAAGGATCTTCAATTTAAAATTTTACTTTTAGAATTATACAGTTAGAGTTATACAGTATAAATTATACATTTATTTGAATGCCAGCCCTTCTATCAAAATTAATTTGTTGTAAGAACTCTGCCTTAAATTGACTATGGTGATGAATTAGAATGCCCTGTGTAACACTAAAATATGAGTCAAAATGTGCATTCAAAATTTTAGTCTCAGTCTGGGCACGGTGGCTCACACCTGTAATCCTAGCACTTTGGGAGGCCAGGAGTTCAAGACTAGTCTGGGCAGCATCATGAGACCACATCTCTGCAAAAAATTGAAAAATTAGTTGAACATGAGGGCACATACCTGTAGCCTCAGCTACTTGAGAGGCTGAGGTGGGAGGATTGCTTGAACAGAAGTTTGAGGCTGCAGTGAGCTGTGATGGCACCACTGTACTCCAGCCTGGACAACAGAGGAAGACCCTGGCTCAAAGTAATAACAACAACAATCACCTTACAGTTCTAGGCAAAATAATTAAGTCTAGAACTATGCCTTTTTTGCAAAGAGTTAAATAAGGACACAACTGACTTGACAGAAAATTGTTTTCAGAAGCATCATTTACAGTAATAACTTTCTTTATGCAGCAACCAACATCACAAGATTGCAAATACTGAATTATGATATTTCTGAATAGCACTTATTGCCATATTCTAATAGAAGTGAAATTTTAAGACAAAAATAGAGATTGCTGAATTTTCATTACTCAGACTGAAAAAAATAGCAAGATATGGAATCAGAACTAGTCAAATTCTACCTATTTCCACCATTGCTCTGAACCTGTTCACCTGAACGATGCGCAATGCTTACCTGACTTACTTAGTAAATATCAGGACTAAGTCAATTAATACAGGAAAACAACTTAGTAAAGTTCAGTAGGTACTGTGTGAATGGTGGCTATTTAGATAACTTCATTAGCTATTCAGAATCTTTACTATTACTTTTTCAGTCTTGCTGATAATCACTAAGTATGTAGCCAATATGTGGCAAACACCATATCTTCCACTAGAGGGATCAGATTTCACAATACCTCAGTGAAACTGATTATGGATGGATGCTACAGGCACTGCACCTTATTCCTTCTTAAATCATTTGTGAGTAACTCCATAGTTTCTGTGAGTTTGTCACCAATCAAAAATTATTCAGAAGTCTACAGTGACAAAGTGACAATCTTTAAGAACTGTGAGATTGTACATCTTCTGAAATTTCAAGACCCTAGCTATTCAACCTGCTTTTAGTTTTCTGTACCATCACAGTATTTTCTTTTCCTCTAATGGAATCTTTCTAGCCATGTAATACAGTATTTTCTCATTAAAACTTTGGCAGTGTCAAGTACACTAGAAAACAGAATACTCAATTAATTAACATTATTGTCCTCAATCATTTCAAGTAGCAGAAAAATAGCTAGTCTTTTGATTACACATATCAAGTACATCTATAGGGACACACAACTATCCATATGCACATTGGTTAAATACAAAGAAATAAACCATAATTTCAAATAAACAACCAGAAATCATACTTGTCTTCAGCTTTAGTGAAGTACTTAGAAAAGTTTATTTTGTGCTTAGAATATTTTTTCTAAGGCATCACAAGTTACACATCCAAACTCTTCAATGGTAGAATGTTTAATATTCTAAAGGAGAGTCCTTTAATGAAAACTTGTACATCATGACACTGTAAGTCTAATGGATTTACAGAGCAACAGAGCCTAGAAAAAAGGAAACATTACACAAATTGTCTATTACATAAGAGTCAATTAATTCACTGTATTTATAGTTCTTTCCTTTCTTGAGGTTCATAGTCCTCCATTGCACCCCTTCCCCCTTGCCATAAGGTGAAAACTATGTGTTCTAACTCTGCAAAGAGGTGAAAGTACACTAAATGTTCCATCCTGCTGATTTCCACCTGTGAAACACCACATAATATTAGTAGTCAGGAAAGACCAGAATATTAAGTTTTTTTATAAACATAAAAATGCTATGATTTTTAAAACATTAAGCATATAGACTATAAAACCAATTAGAACTTTCTATATTTTAGGACAAAGATACATTTGAAACATACACTATAAGATGCTTTTTCCTGAGTAGAATGCAAAATTTTATATCAAATTTATCTTGTGAATTTTCAAAATATAAAATACCAAAGCTTTCCCACATCAAATTAAAAAAAAAAATCAGGAATGTTCACCTTCACTTCCAAAAAAAGAAAAAAGGTCAAACAGAACTCCAGCCTGGGCGATAGAGTGAGATCCCAACTCAAAAAAAAAAAAGTTCAGCAAGAATGATGTAAAATCTGAAATGAGTGGCCAAAATGTTCATTGTCAACAGACAGCTCAACCTGATAAATGTCTCAGTAAACTTCAGGAAAAAAAAAAGTACTGTGCCAAAACATAAAAAATACTTCTGAGAAATTATCATCCAACTTGAAAAATGTAAGCCATAGCAAATAAGAAAAATACAAAAAAGGAAATAAATTCTAAAGGAATCAAGAGAATATCATGGACTTAATAAAAACTTCCTACATCAGTAGCATATCCTGTATTATCATGTGTAGAAAACTGTAATTACTATAAGGTAGTTTTTATTAGTTGCATAATCCAAAAATGAGGAAATATTGAAGTCCATGTCTAAAAAGACCATGGAGTTGTCATTGAAATATACATTTCTCGAGACAATGGGTAAAGTTCCCATTTATGGGAAATATTGTCTTTTTTTCACACAGTGAAACTGAGAAAAATTATATCAAATGAGAAATGTTTTTCTCTAAAGTAATAATAAATACCCCAATAATGTAATATTTGAGAAATGTAAATTTTCAAAACTCTTGAAACAAAACTTGAAACAAGTTATTATCAAATAAACATACACAAATCTTATTGCTTGGCACCAGATTTTTCAAAAATTAAATAACTGCTTAAATCACCATATTGTGCTTAAATGCTATTTCAAAATTTATGCCCAGTGCTTTTATGTTCTGAATGTACACTGTTCAATCTAATGACAATCTAGACTGAACCCTGCAATATACAAGTAAGTCACAGTTCACTTCAAACCAAAAGAAACAATCCATCTTCTGTTTCTGTCAAAATCATAATACTAAGATAACTATAAAAATTAACTAGGATTTATCTGTGGCCAACGATTGACCCAGAGAGCGTTGTCTTATGGCATTTTGCTGAAAGTCTTTGTTTGTTCCTTCTTTACTTTCACCTTCCTCTTCTGAAACATCTTCTTCATCAGCTTCTTGTTCCTCCTCCACTTTCTTCAAAGGATGAGAAGATTCTGGTAATAATTTTTCTTAAAGACAAAGACCAAAAGTGTGTTTTTGTTGATGTATTAGATTTGCTTTAGAGTAAAATCAAGATACAACAATGACTCATATGTCCATAAACTCCTTTGGTATTTATCAAGATTGTATTTTCTTTATTTTTTTTTTGAGTTGGAGTTTCACTCGGTCGCCCAGACTGGAGTGCAGTGGCATGCTCCCAGCCACCACAGCCTCGACCTGCTGGACTCCGGCGACCCTTCCGCCTCAGCCTTCCAAGTAGCCAGAATTACAGGGGCACGCTACCATGCCCGGCTAATTTTTTGATTTATTGTAGAGATGAGGTCTCACCAAGTTTCCTGGGAGGGTCTCAAACTTGCGGGCTCAGGTAATTCACCTGCCTCAGTCTCCCAAAGTGCTGGGATTACAGGCTGAGCCACCAAGCCCGGCCCAACCAAGACTGTATTTTCAAAAGGAATAAGTTATTAAAAATAAGACACACAAAGAAACCAGTGAATATTATAAAATTAAAAATTGGTTTTGAGGAGACATTTTACTTATCAAATTCATTCTAATTACCCACATATTTAAAAACTAAAGCGAAATTAATTAATCAGCTTTAATACTGTGAATACAGAAGTTGTAAGAAAATTTACTGCATTGAAAGAAACCAGCTGGTCCAATGGTAGTGGGTTATAGGAACTTAACATTAGTGTCATTAACAGTGGCAAATAATCCCTTACTGCTTAAAATATATATATACCTTATTCTAATTTGCTATTAATCTTCAAGCCAATAAGTATACTAAAACTTCAACATTACACTTTTGAGTTCCCAGGGGAACAGAAACTACAAATTTACAGTTGACAGCTATATTCCTGTCCATAATTTCTTTTGGTCTTAAATAAATGTGCTTCCCCTTCCTCATCCCCCATATATATTATTTTATTAAGGTATAGTTACACACAATAAAATGTAAAAATGTTAAGTATATAGCTCAATGAATATTTAAATATACCTTTTCATTTTTTTCATTTTTTTTTTTTTTAAAGTAGAATTTATTGAGAGGACAGAAAAGCTCCCAGAGCAGGAGGGGACCAGAGGGGGTTGCCTCTTTTCTATTTTTTATAGGACCAGTTGCAAGTTAACTTAAGCTTAGCGTACACTGTGATGAGATACAGGAGACAGAATTGGGGCAAAGAATTTTACTCTGTTCAGTGATCTCAGACTGCCCCTAATCCAAGGCAATCCAGAATGTGGGGGTGGGGACGTAGAGAGGGATCGAGGGAAGGACTGGGTTAATAAGGTAGACAAACTACAGAGAAGAATTTCCAGTAGTGGACAGTCTATTGTACAGTCAGCCTGGCATACCTTTTTCTGTTGGATTAACAGCCTCCTTCCCCATGCCATACTCCATATGGTTCTGGCAAGTATTGATTTACAACAGTTCTTGACCAAGGGCAAGTTGGTCCCCAGAAGGAACACTTAGCAATGTCCAGGGATATTTTTGGTTGTCACATCTGATGGGGTCATTGCTACTGGCAACTAGAAGAATGCTGCTGAATATCCAATAATGTACAAAAGACAGACTATCTCACAATTATTATTAAGAATTATCTGGTCAAAAATGACCTTAATGTCAAGGCTGAGAAACCCTGGTTTCCAAGAAGTGAGTCCCTTCACAAGTAGAGTGCATCAAAATTTCTCCAAAAGATAGATTGGTATAGGAAGAAAATGGATTTCCTTCTTCTTCTCGGATTGTGAGCTTTCCATAGTCATCTTATACTACTAACTAAAAAGAGTCAAACAAAAATGGAAAAGTAAAGGTGTGGAGAACTAATCAATTCAAAAACACCTGGCCATATCACTTGAGCCCCAAGGATCGAGTCAACTCTACCCTTAGATTTCCTTGCTACCTAAATCAAAAAATTCCTATTTTGCTTACAAGTAGACTGAGTTGGGTTTCTTTCCCTAGTAACTCAAAATTTAAGACAATCGCATACACTGGAAAACAAATCATGTGACCTGCTATAAAGTCTGGATTAGTATCATCTATCAGTTGTATCACTAAAAGAAAACAAATTACATAATCATATGCTTATTATGTGTTACAAATTACAAATTACATAATCATATGCTTATTATGTGTTACCAGGATAATGTGAGTGTCACATACCTATCTTAAAGTATCATACAACCAAACAGGGCAAGTATAATTACTTTCCATTTCACAGAGGAGAAAACATGCTCAGAGGTTAGGAAACGTCTGTCATGCTGTTTGGCTATTAAGTAGTAGAGCTGGGATGATCCCCAATCAGATCTCTCTAGCTCAAAGAGCATACTTGCTTTCTCTTTTTTTTTTTTTTTGAGTTGGAGTCTCACTCTGTTGCCCAGGCTGGAGTGCAGTGACACACTCACGGCTGCTATAGCCTTGACCTGCTGGGCTCAGAGATCCTTCTGCCTCAGCCTTCCAAGTAACAGGAACCGCAGGTACACACCACCATGCCCAGCTAACTTTTTGATTTATTGTAAAGATGAGGTCTCACCAAGTTGCTCAAACCCCTTGGCTCAAGCAATCCTCTCACATTCGCCTCCTAAAGTGATGGTATTATAAGCATGAGCCACCACAACTGGTCCTTGCCTTCTTTTTGAATGAATAGGGAAGGCATTCAGAAAACCTATAACTTTGTTTTTCAATCTCTCCAAATTAACAGATATTTAAAGATACAGATTTATCTAGTGACTTTTACTGTGAATCTTAATAGAGGAGAGACAAACTTGAGTAGTTTGACGTAAATTAGCTAAGTCATTTAAAAAATTTCATTTCCAGGATACGAATTTCTTTGCAACTTGCTAAAAGAGGCACAATATTATCTCTGCCATTTCCCTATGTTCAACCCTTAGGAAGTCTAAAATTATACTGATTCAGTGTTCTGCCCTTCTTGTTTAAAAACAATTACTTCCTTTCATGGCAATTACATATATTCCACAGTATATTCCGGAAGGGGGCCTACAGAAGTCAGTATTCTTTTAAGAAGTTTGTATGTTGCCTGAGCCCGCGGGTTCGAGACCCACCTGGGTAGCAAGACCTCATCTCTACAATAAATCAAAAAATCAGCCAGGCGTGGTAGCGCATGCCTGTAATTCCGGCTACTTGGAAGGCTGAGGCGAAAGGATCGCCGGAGCCCAGCAGGTCGAGGCTGCGGTGGCCGGGAGCGCCCACTGCACTCCAGTCTGGGCGACAGAGTGAGACTCCACTTCAAAAAAAAAAAAAGAAGTTTGTATGATTAATACCAAACTACAGGCCAGGGCCTGTAGATTTCCTATTGGTACTACTTTCTCTAAGACAATGGTTCTCAAATAGTGGTCCTCAGACCAGCAACATCAACTTCACCTGGGATGAGGATGGCACTTGGTTTCAACAAGTTCTCCAGAAAATCTAAGACTCTCTGAAGTTTGCTCTACATGGTAAGACTACTTAGACACCAACATTTATGTCCTCAGAGAAATCAATCTATGAAGACTCCCAAAGTAAACACTTGCAAGATGAGAAGAGAATCTAACAAGACTGGCAATAATGATTCAGTCTACATATCACATGACTCACATGAAATGTGATAAATGTATAGGATCCGAGGCCAGCTGCACACTAATCTTACAGATTTCTGACAGATGTAGGATTTATGTGAGGATAAAGGCAGAACAGGTAACCAAGAAAACCAAACATAATACGGATGCCCCTTGACTTATGATGGGGCTGTGTCCTGATAAACCCATCATAAGTTGAAAATATCGTTAAGTCAAAAATGCTCTTTATACCTAGCCTAATCTGCCATCATCACAAGAGAGTATTATATGATCTATCAGTAGTCTGGGGAAGAATAAAAATTCAAAATTTGAAGTACAGTTTCTAATGAACATATTGCTTTTGCACCATCATAAAGCTGAAAAATTTTAAGTCAAACCGTCATGATTCAGCAACCATTTATATAGGTATTTTTATATACTTATCTTGTGTATTTACTAAATCAAATCCTATGTTTTATTCACAAATTAAAATTTGGTGAATAAGCATTATATATTTAATTCACTTCACTTAAACCTAATAATAAATTTGTCTTTTTTTGAGTTGGAGTCTCACTCTGTCGCCCAGACTGGAGTGCAGTGGCCACTCCCGGCCACCGTAGTCTTGACCTGCTGGGCTCCGGCGATCCTTCCGCCTCAGCCTTCCAAGTAGCCAGAATTACAGGCGTGCACTACCACACCTGGCTGATTTTTTTTATTTATTGTAGAGATGAGGTCTCGCTGCCCAGGCGGGTCTGGAACCCGCGGGCTCAGGCAATCCACTCACCTCAGCCTACCAAAGGCGCGGGATTACAGGCTGAGCCACCAAGCCCGGCTTATAAATTTGTCTTTTAAGTAATCTGTGCTTACATTTTTTTCCCTATAGGTCAGTAGCCCTTGATGGATAAAACGATTTCCTCCCCATGCTTGTCCTTTTACTATCACTACAACTACCTGAGAAATGAAAAGATGACCTAAGTTATTTAATGGAGGAAGTACACTGTAAACGCAATCTCCATTGATTTCATTACAGAAATTCTGACTTCAATAGGCTCTAAGTCAAGAAAGGCAGGGTAACAGAAAAAATATCAGGCCACAAGTCTGATTTAGTTGAACACTCAACTCTGTCATTCCTGTGACCATAAGGAAATACTCTAGCTCTCTGAACCTTAGTTTCCTCAACTACAAAATGGGAGTATTGCCTATGCATTCTAATACAGTTGCTGAAAAGCAAACAGAGTAACAGATATGTAATCGTTCTTTAGAACTGCAAATATGAGGGCTTCCATTAACAGTACAATTTTTAAGATTAAAAAAACAGTACATGATTGGCAAATACCTATAAATATATAAATTTGTTTTGTAGTAAAGTTCAGTGCCAATGCCAATCCTAAATCAGCTACAAGAATTGCTTTTCCCAATGTCCTACCACAAAAAAAACTTACATTGCTGTAAGTACATAATCTTCAAATGTGGTCACTATACCAATTAATCACTCTAAGAGTAAAATATATTCAACTTATTAAAATTTTGACTCTAGTATATTCAGATAGCTCCATAAATAGCATGAAATTTTCAAATAAACTAACATCAGATCAATGTCACTTAATATCTACATGCCATACGCAATATTAAAATTCTCCGTAAGAGATCAAAAAAAAATATATGTTTCAACAAATTCACTGGGCTACCATTCTCACATGATAGCTCCTCCCCATCCCCTTACGCCACAGCTGATACACACCACCACTCCACATGCAGGAGTTAAATGAGTGACTATGTTTACAGAAATGGGATTAGAGTGAACAAAAACTAAGCACTTTAAAATATACTTACTTGAAGGGTATGGCTGTGGTCTGCGCCTTTTTGAAGGACAAAGGCAATCTGCCACAAATATCATACACTGCAAAAATAAAGATTATAAGAAATCTGAATGTAGTATACAATGTAGCAGCTAATGCAACTATATTAAAATGTCACATTTTTAAATATTTTTCTTCCTAGTACTATGAAAATGAAGTACTCACGAGTCCTAATAACAGTCCTGAAAGCAGAGTTGCTAAAGCAAAAACTGTGTATGATCCCCAAACTGGTAATCCAAGGTCTTCAATAAAATAGTTATGGCAAGTCTAAAATTAAAAAAAAAAAAAGTAAACTATAAACTTGTCCATTTTTTAAAAAGTGACAGTGTCAAAAATGTTTAAAACAGAAATATTCTAGTCCATACCCTGATCCACATAGACAGCTGAAAGAGTGCTGACATACTACTCATCCTAAAATAAAAAAGAGTTGAAAACTGAGTAACATATACAGCTTTGTCTACATCTATAAATTCTATTTTCTACTCTATAATTTCCTCGACATGACAGATTGTATTGCTGGTGTTAAGACGAGTGACACATTACTGATTTCATGCCAGTAATAAGGCTTGTTCATGAAAAGTAATAGTTTCTTATTTGTTACTACCATGTGACACCCTCATTTAAAAAATATTTGACTTTTTTCCTTTTCTCCTATTGCTTTGACATTAATATTTTATCTTTCATCTGATGATTTCTCCAATATACTGAGTAAAAAGTTACAGACTTTATGAAATGGCAACTCTTCATTTGCTCTTAAAATCCTCCAAATGACCAAAGGTAGCTTGAAAGAAGAAATAACACTTGTTGACCTGATTCTTCCCACTTAAGAATTACCCCCTCCTTTTTACTGAAATTAATTAAAATTTACAATAGCATCAGTTTGATACCTTTAAATATACAAAACAGAGGAAATAAATGCTAAGTAAAAATAATTATTTTATATACTTAAATCCAAGTAGTTAAAAAAAAAGGGCTGCTTCAGAAATAAAAAGGATTTGTGAGTCCCCAACCATTATCCCTCCTGCATGAAGTACTGCTGGTGCTGCCAAGTGCTTTTTCACACAGAAGCCAAAGCTACTGTAGTTATATCTTGATTCAACAGCCAGATCCAATTTTCACGCACTGGGTGGGTGAACCTAAAGAGCAGACACTGGAAGTGTCCCTATTCAGCCTCCAATAAAAAAGGCACAGACTGCTGTCCTGAGGATTCAACACAGACTCAAGCAGCTGCCTTCTTCTACTGGAGGAGAATGCAATTCATTTAAGAGATGAGATTTCAAAGAACAAAAATCAGTTACATTTCCAGTTCAGCATGGAAAGGTACTTTAATCAAGTTGTTTCTGTTGTTTTAAAAGCCAAGTGAGAATAGGAACAAGAAGCTTAATAAACATAAAGCACAGCTTCACTATTGTCTGCATTAATATAGCTATTTCAAGAATTCTAGGTTTCATAGTTGGGTTGCGCATGGTGGTTCAGGAGATAAGTTCTGACAGTTAAAAGGCCAATTTAGAGGTTTTCTCAGGAAGAGAAGCAGGAAGAGAATGATGCTAGAGATAAACCTCTACTTGCATATTCTGCTTAGGGCTGATCTTTTCCCACTCCCAGAATCCAAAGCACTTTTCACTTGTATAGATGGTGTCCCAACTCTTCAAGGGCAAGTGTACTGAGGGGACAGGAAGAGATAGCTTAGCCACAACTGAATGAGGCCAAGGTGACCGCAGCAAAACTCACTATTCCCAGAGGTCTCGCAAATGACCGGTGAGGCCTTGCACCCAACAGCATAACAGAAAACATACTTGCTACTTCCAAAACTCCCCATTCCATAGCAAACTGCTACAGAGAAATTTACCTATCCTCTAGCTATTGACAAAGCTCAGTGGTCAATAATGCTATAAGGGTCACTATTCACCCACTATTCCTACAAATATCAGACAAGTGAATAACCAACCAAACATAATTCAATCACTTTCCATTAAGAATTGAAGTCAAAGGTAGCATGAGCAAACGTTTGGCCTTAATCATTCAAATTGTTAAACTCACACTTTAGAGAGAGTTAGTTTTTGATAATACTTTTGATCAAATTGATAAAGCTAAAATATTCTTGAAAGGGTATTCAACTTCATCCTATACAATGCCTCCTTTAGCTTAACAAACATGAACTAGGTTTGACATAGAAAGTAAAACTAAAAATATCAAACATCAAACACATAATAAATCTGAATTTGCCACGAGGCTCAAGAAACAAATTGAGTATGAGTGCTTTCTTTACATGACATAAGTATCTGTTCCAATTATTCTGAAATAGGTAAGAGAAAACTCCCTCATACTTACAGAACAGAACCTGGACCAAACCACGATGAAACAGGTTCAATACTCTTCCACTCTTTATCACTTACAAAGTTTATGAAGTCGTTCTTAGTCCTTGGACCCTGATAACGCCTAAATTCGCCATCTTTACAGCTAAAGAAAATCAGAGTTAGGTATTAACCAGCACTGAGAAATAATTTAATATTTATTTTGCTATTTCTTCACCTCATTTGACAGTCAATCCTAACATGCAAAAGCACTAGCAATGCACAAGTAGCAAATTATACTATTTACCTACTCATGACATCCCAGCTCCAAATTTAAATAAAAGAATGAGGTTACATTCTTTTAATCATAAGTCTTAAGATGTTGTTACTGTTACACTTCCAAATAGTAAAACTATAAGATAAATCTTTAAAAAGTATTTTAAGCCTTATAGGTAATATACATATTACTGGAATTACTATATGAAAAATTATTAGAATAGTGCTTGGTACATACTAATTATTAGCAATTGTTAAACTATTAAAATTTTAACATTTTTTTCTGGTACTTTCAGTCATAATCATATTATCTCGAGCACCCTGCTTTAGGTGGCTGGAGGCATCTGGTACAGCACTTCCCTTTTTCCCATTTCAGTGATTCTATTTACAGTCAGCTTTGCAGTCTTCCTTACATCTACCTCCCCCTTCCCATTTCCAATGTATAAAGTCCTATATCAGGATCATACATGCTCTCCTGGCTCCCACATCTTTAAGTGCAAAAACTCAATAACTGCCTAATATCTGCAGGTCATAGGCCTAAGATATCCTTTGTCCATCGAGAGGCAAGGGTCACAAGGAATCCAGCATTCAAAAACACAGTTTTGTGGAAACGGTGGCACGTGAGCTATTTGTGGGATGGGTAGGATTTTAGCAGGCAGAAAATAGGGGAATTGGCACAATAAATGGGACTAAGAAGAAAGCAGGAAATTTCTGGTAAGTTCTGGGGGTGCTAGGAAATGAAAAGGAAAGAAGAGCCAATATTCAGTTAAGGGGTATGTGAGGAAAAGACAAAGTGAAAGGAGGGGAGAGAAGCACTCATAGAGACAGAGAATAAAACTGCAAACAGATAAAAACGGAGCAGGGGTAAAGTTTTAAAAACATGAAGGACAAAAAAAAAGCAAGAAACAGACACACACAAAAAACTACCAACTTATCTTCAGTACCTCCTGATATTTAACCCACCAGCTAAGGTGTTAAGGTACAGAGCGGGCAGACAAATTTTAAGATTTCCCACCCTCAATTCAGAAGATAAAGTCAAATTTAAAAATGCACTACTAAAGACTATATAATTTCATTCATTCTGATTTCACATCCCATCATATTACCCACTACTCTACCCATAGCTGTGCAAACACTTTCTTAGCTACTTTTTGATCACACCATGTTCCTACTAATGACTGGTTATGAGACTATTCTCAGAATAGAATGATTACCCTGCACTCTTAAAAATTCTACTTCCAAGATTTCATCTCAACCCCACATTCTCTAGGAACCACTCCAGCTGATAGTGATTTCTCCTTTAGTCAACATTCTACAGGGCCATCATTACTCTGGGTTCATAATCATTTACCATGCTGACCAGAAACATACCACTACACATGAGCATCACTTTCCAAAACAACTATAAATTTTTGATAACAGAGATGGCTTCACACATCATTCATGTATCTAAAGACAGCTAGAGTAACAACCCTAAGAGCAAAATAAGGCTTCTAAAATGCTTCCTGAATATAATGAGATTACCTAGTTCTTCAAACATGATCCAAGCCAGAAGCCTACCATTCTGATTACACTATATTATATCCTTCTCTGTAACTGAGAATCTTCAAATACTTACTGATAAATGGTAGGAAGAGCAGTTATGATAAACCGTCCACTCAGACCTACAAATGATAAAGAACACACAGCAAGTTTTATTTATATAGGCCAACCACATCAACTTAAAAGCTGACTTTAAATTATTTAAATACATACTAACAGGAAGGAATATGAAATTATACCTAATTGCTGAGCTTTACAAAAAACAATAAAGAAATGAATCATGTACTTAAAGCAGTTTTTTAAAACACTCTACTAAATATTATCTCAATTTAAAAATATATAAACCTTGGATATTGAACACATATGTGAAATATATAAAAACACATGATTATACCACTGTCTAAATTAAAACTACTAAAGATAAGTCATGAAACAGCACTACATAATAGGTTCTTAGAAAGGTCTCAAAGTCAAAGAAAATTGCACAGAACATTCAAGAAATAAAGGCAGTTCATGGTACTGCCAAAAATGAAAAAGACTACAAATTTTTCATAAAACAGGCAATAACAATAGCAGCTAATATTTATTATGGTTATGTGTCAAACACTGATACAACTAAGATCAACCTTACTATGTCTCAGTACTCTTATTTGTAAAATGGGGATATCACATATCTCACAAAATAGTGTAAGGATTAAATAAAAATGCCATCTGTAAAATGGAAAATCACATATCTCACAAGGTAGTGTAAGGATTAAATAATAAGTGCCAAACAGTTAGAAAAATGCTGTTATAGGAAAGTGCTCAATATTATCTATTATCGCCATTTGGGATGGACAGTCAGAAATCCACGTTTACTATGACCAACAAGAACAGGTAGGATGAGGCTGGTCTGAGAAAGGAGCATCCCTAAAGGCAGGACGTGCCTTTTGTCCAGAGGACCAAGTTAGGAGGACACTTGAACCTAACAACCATGAGGGTTTTGTAACTAACAGCCCACATCCTCAAATCACAGGCATTAAATTTGGAACTCAATTTTAGAGATTCAGATCCTCTGTTGTCAGGGACTGTGACCTTGACTCTACAAAGACACTCAATCACATGTGTCTTATTCTGAAACTTGCTACAGAGGCAAATGACAGTTTGGCCAATGTCCACCTAGACCACAGTGTTCTAGGACTTCTCAAAGGCATCACACATGCCAGTCTAGGGCCTGAGATACAGATAAAACCAGATCAAAGGCAGTAACGTAGACAAGAATGGGAAGAGGACGATGTCTCCAAGATCTCTTAGAGCACCAGATCCAAGGAATGAACTGCATGCACAACCAGGCAATCTGCTTTTGGCAGGCACTGTACACTGGGCACCTGTCAGGGAGGTGGGCAAGTCGGCTGAACTAGCTGCACACTGTTTTGTCTTCAAAACTTAAGGAAAGGTAGAGTCAAGACCATGAAATGTGGAAAACAGGATAAGCACATTAGCACCATCAGCAAAGAAACAAAACAAACTACAGACTTTCAGTACCTGGCTGCTCTGTGACATCTACTTTTGCAACATTAATCTCAAGATCTTCTCCCCATTCAGCAAAACTTTCCCATTCTGGTTGAAGATTTTGACAAGCAGGACACCATGGGGCATAACTAAGAAAAACAGTTTAGAAAAAAAAGTTACACACTTACTTAATATGACCATTCACCTTTGGACACAAATTTTAAAATGTATAATTTAGGAAGAATATTTTATACTAAAAACACTTAAGATGGCAAAGCGGTTAATTTTATGCAGACAAAAAAAGTTGTAACTGTGGGTCTAACAATCTGAAAATCAAAAACTATGAACTGATGATGCTAAGCTCCTAAAATTCTGAGAATATGTTCTTAAGACACAAGGGCTTTTCATATGCAAAACAGCAATTTAAAAACCTTCCCATTTTTCTGTTGAAATGTGGCCACTGGAATCTCAAATGCCGGGTGTTGGAAAAATAAGAAGTTTCCAGGACTGTGGTGAGTAAGGAAAAACATGTCCCATCTTCAGGTGACAATCTCTCCACTCCCTAGCAGGACTGCCACAGGGATGCTGGCCCAGGAAGAATGACTTCCTTAAAAGAAGCTGGATATCTGCATTTTGATATAAGACTATTACCTCAAAACTTACCCCACACATAAATACTAACTAAGCAGGCCAAACAAAACTCCTGGCCAGCTAGGTCAGCCTGGTTCCAAGACCTTGGTTTACAAATTCTATGGACAAGCATATTAGCATTTTAATTACTCCTTTGGTATACATTCTCTTCCCAGGAGCTGATTTCTCCCTAGGATCTTATTTTTCTACTTGATTATATATTATCTTATAATATGCCTCAGTTTTTGGTTTTGGTTTTTTTTTTTTTAACAGAATCAGGATGAATAAAGTCCACCAGTTAAACACAAAAGTAAAAGTATTGGTATTTCATTTTCTTGACTTGTCTTAGGAAAGTCAAACTCCTAAAACAAGACAAATGGGTACTATATACAAAAACCAAGTCTTTGACAATAAATTATATTACAATGAAAATATATCTCTATAACAAAACTTCTCATCAGAAATGGATTTACTGGCCAGGCAACGAAACTTATGCCTGTAATTCCAACACTCTGGGAGGCCAAGGCAGGAGACACACTTGACGCCAGGAGCTGCAAACCTGCCTGGGCAACACCATGAGACCTTGTCTCTACAAAAATTAACTTTTAACAATAAGCCAGGCATAGTGATGTCTGCCTGTAGTCCCAGCTACTGGGGAGGCTGAGGCAAGGAGGATCACTTGAGTCCAGGAGTTCTAGGTTGCAGTGAGCTATGACCATACCACTATACTCTAGCCTGGACAAGAGTCAGATCCTGACTTTAAAGAAAAATGGATTTACTGCAAATAATTCGCTTGTAATTAAGAGCAGACTATTATTAGGACTACTATATCCCTTCTTTTTTAAGCTCATTTTGTTTCTTAGTTGCTTTTTCAAGGCTTACTTAACCTTAGAATCTTTAGCTAAGGAAAAAGAAAAAACACTACCCATACTATAACTTCTATATAAATATAATGATCTAATTTGAATTAAACTCACGCTCAATATTTTGTTAGTTTTGATCCCCTTAATACTACTTCTGACCACTACATTGCTTGATCAAGAGAATTAAAAAATATCCTCTCTATTACAAAGTGGGCAAAAGATATGAAAAGACAGTTCTCAAAAGAAGACATATGAGCAGCCAACAGATACATTTAAAAATGCACAGCCTCACTAGTCATTAAAGAAATGCAAATTAAAACTACACTGAGATACCACCTAACTCCAGTCAGGATGGCCATCATCAATAACTCAAAAAACAACAGATGATGGAGAGGATGAGGCGAAAAGCGAACACTTCTACACTGTTGGTGGAACTGTAAACTAGTACAGCCTCTATAGAAAACAGTGTGGCAATTCCTAAAAGATCTAAAAGCTGACCTTCCATATGACCCCACAATCTCCCTACTGGGAATATACCCAGAAGATTTCAAATTACTCTATAAAAAAGATATCTGCACACAATAGCAAGAACATGGAACCAACGGTGCTGTCCATCAAGAGGACATTTTTTAAATGTGGTACATATGCATGATGGAATATTACACTGCCACAAAGAAGAACAAAATCATGAACTTCACTGCAAGCTGGATGGACTTAGAGTCTAAAATACTAAGTGATCTTTCACAGAAACAAAGAATTGAGTATCATATGTTCTCACTCATAAGCAGACCTTGAACAGCTATTGTAATACTATAAGAAAAGGATTGGCAGTAGTGGGAATCTGCCTGGGGAAGAGAGGGCACACCTCATCAACAAGGGTATCTGCATAATGAACATTTGTATACCTAACCCTGAATTGTACCCCACATCTTTAAAACAAAAAAATTAAAAGTTAAATAAAATTTCTTAAAAATATCCTTAATACTTGACTGTATTTTATATATGAATTCATAATCACGATTGCTTAACATATTCCTTATAACACTGAATATTTTACAGGCACAATTTAAAACAAGTTACTCTTGACAATGACTGCAAAGCAAACACTGGCATTGTATATGGACCCTCTGCCCTGAAGCTCCAATGGTGACTGAGAATTCTTCTCATGGAGTTGCAGATTGTGCATCTGCATACTGTAAACATTTGCCCATTTTACCCTTCATATAAATGTTTTAAGTTTGTGTTTCTTAAAATAATTCAGGAGTTAATAATTTAGCACGCTGTGTTCTCCCTTGGAGATGTCTATTTCCACCCACCTTCGTAACCTGGCAACCCTAGCTGAATCCATGATACATAGGAAAACACTGACCTGACCCTTGTTCAAGGAGGTCTTCTAACAACAGTTACTGCAAACCTACTCTAGAGACCCAAAGAAAACAAGTACACCAGCATCTGGACAGGCTAATGAAAGTATATAGGCATCTGTTTCTCATCTGTAAAAACTGAGGCAATACCTATTATAGAAAATTTGTAAGAGATTAAACATGATAATGTATGTAAAAGTGTTTAGCACTGTCCAGTACACAGCTAACACTCAATAATGGTGTTTTGCCCAATATCAGGTACCACTAAATATTGTCAATACTGACAATACCACCACCCATCACCAGCAATTTAGCATCTCAAGAAAAGGCAATGTGTTTTCTACCACTGCAGAATAGACATTAATAAATCGGAATCAAACACAAGATACATGATTTTGTTCAAGCAATAAATGATGTTCTGGGGATCTTGAGAGTTTATAATAACCTCATTAAGATATTAATTTTCTATTTTAATACAATACCACTGACAAAAGCTTAGGAGTCACAATCCAAGGCATTCTATACACGGCAAAAACACACACCCAAAGGAAAAATGAGACGTGGAGTAAAAAAGAGAAAGAAAGCAAAAAAGGAGTGGAAAAAAAGGAAACAAACGTTTAAAAATAACCCAACTTGAATTTATTCGGCGTTTACAATTAAAAAGGAAAGAAACATCTCTAATACATAAAAGATCATTTAAAAGTCCCAAATGCCAACACTATCAATGGACTATCTTTTAAGGATAGACCAAAAGCGAGGAGAGAGCTTGCTCAATATCCTCTTCTGTAATGCTTGCTGAAACCAAGTCTAGAAATGTCTCTAAATCAATTTTGCAGGAAATTAAATATGATGTATGTAAAAGTGTTTAGCACTGTCCAGTACAGTTAACACTTAATAACGGTGCCTTTACCAGTATCAGTAGTACCACTAAATATCGTCAATACGGTCAATAACGACAATATCACCTCCCACCATCACCAATTTAGCATCTCAAGAAAAGGCAGATCGTTTGAGCACTAGTCAGCCACCACCCCCGTCTCCAATCCCATCCTCAAGTCCTAAAGGAAAGTCAGGGAATTCCAAGTGGCACGCAACCCCGGGGGTGCACCTCAGGGGGCTAGACCACAGCCTCTCCCGTAACCCAAGTGGCGCGCAACCCTGGGGGCTCACCACAGTCCTAGACACGCAACCAGAGGGTGCACACAAGGGGAAACTTCACACTCTCGGCTAGGACACGAGCAGGCCCACGCCCCAACCCCATCCTCGAGTCCCAGAGAAAGTCAGAGAATCCCAAGTGGCGCGCAACCCGGAGGGCGCACCGCGGCCCCAGAAACCAAACTAGGGTGCACACCAGGGAAAACTTCACATTCACGGGTAGCACACTAGCAGGGGCGGGACCTAACGGCGGCAGGTCCCAGGAGGAGTTCGGGGAACCAGAAACATCGGGAACCCGGATCCGCAGCCCGGAGGTGCGGTCCGGGGCGCCGGGCCTCGCAGGAGGAACGCGGGTTGAGGTAGGATGCCGGACCCCGGCGGCAGGGACGGCCGCCCGCACTCACAATTCTATCATCCAGTCCCCTTCCAGCAGCTCTCTCCAGTTCTCGTCCGTGATGACGCGCACGTTGCTCCGCCGCCCGTGGGTCCAGGGAGCGCCCCAAAGCAACAGAACCAGGACAGTCGAGGGAACCGCCAGACTCCCGGAGGGCGCCATGTCCGCCGCGGGCGACCCTCACAGCCCCGCCTCCCCGCCGATTTCCGCCCTCGCCTGCCGCGACTGCACATGCGCACGACGGCGGGGCGAGGCACGCCTACCTGGGCGAATCTCACTGCGCATGACCGGGTCCTTGTTCCCCGCCCCGCGAGTGGCGGAGTAGGGAAAAGAGGGAAGACCGCAGGGCCGCAGTGCGCATGACAGGAAAGCGACCTGGCCCGAGGCCTGCCGTGCCCCGGTGTTGGGCGGACAGAAGAGCGAAAAAGGGCGTGGCGTAGGCTGCGGGCGGGGCTTCGCGGAAGGGAGGTTTAAAAAAATCGCCGCTAGACTTTTGGCGCCAAATGGTTGCCACTTATACTTCCTCTAGCCGATTGGCGAGTGTTTACCGTGCTAAAGCAGTTTCCGATGAAACGCTCTTCCGAGTTTTCATGTGTCTCCTTTGTAGTCAGGCTGATGGATCTTTATGGGACTCAGAATGGCTGACTTTTCTGCGATTGGAAACTGGGGTGCAGTGGGAACCTTAAGGGGGTCTTCTTGGTATGCCACATCTTTACATGAGCATACGTACACATATATTTTACGGTGACTCAGCCTGTAATCCCAACACTTTGGGAGGCCGAGGCGAGAGGATTGCCCGAGTCCCGGGGTTCAAGACCAGCCTGGGCAACTTGGTGAGGCCTCGCCTCTACAATAAATCACAAAAATTAGCCGGGCGTGGTAGCATGCGTCTGTAGTTCCGGCTACTTGGAAGGCTGAGGCGGAAGGATCGCCTAAGCCCAGCAGGGCCGTGAGCGTGCCACTGCCCTCTGCTAGTCTTCCATTTCAGTAAATAGCCCCAAGATTCACCTAGTTGCTGTTGTCAAATATTTGCATGTTAATTCTTTATTGTTCTCTTTATTGTTACCATTTCCTTCCTTGAATACGGATTACTTCAGCAAGTCCTATAAACTCTACCTCCAAAACAAATCCAGAATCTGACTGCCAGTTTCCACCTCAACGGATCAAGGTGAGAAAATTAATTTCTGTTGTTTAAGCCACCCAGTCTATGATATTATATTATGGCAGCCCAAGATGACTAAGACACTAGACCTCTCTAGTACAATGTTGAATGGACGTGGCAAGACTGTCCAAACATCCTTGTCTTATTCCTGATCTTAGGGGAAAAGCATTCAATCTTGAACCACTAAGTATGATGTTAGAGTGATTTTTTTCATAGATAGCCTTTATACTGGTGGGGAAGTTTCCTTCTATACCTAGAAGATTGTTTTTATTATGAATAAGTATGGCATTTTGACAAATGCTGTTTCTGAAGGTATTAAGATGACCATGTGGTTTTTGTCCTTTATTTCATTGATATGTTATATTACATTAATTGATTTTTGGATATTAAAGCAACCTTGCAGTCTTGCTCTAAATCTCACTTGGTCATGGTATATAATTCAGTTTGCTAGCATTTTGTTGAGAATTTTCACATCTATATTCATAAGAGATATTGGTCTGTAGTTTTCTTGTGAGGTCTTTGGTTTTGGTATTAAGATATTACTGGCCTCATAGAATACGTTAGGAAATGTACCCTCCTCTTCCATTTTTTGGAAGTGTGTGAAGAATTTGTATTATTCTTTAAATGTTTGATGAAATCCAGCTGTGAAGTTATCTGGGCCTGGGCCTTTCTTTGTGGTAGTTTTTAAACTGCTAATTCAATATCTTGTTATAGGTCTATTCAGATTTTCTATCTTTTCTTGAGTCTGTTTTGGTAGTTTGAGTCCTTCTAGTAATATGTCAGTTTCATCCAAGTTAACTAATTTGTTGGTCTAAAGTTGTTCATAGTATTCTCTTATAATCCCTTTTATATGTGTAAGGTTGATATTAATGTCCCCTCTTACATTGCTGCTTTTAGCAATTTGAGTCTTTTCTCTTTGATTTATTGGTCAGTGCAGTGGTTTGGATAGGTTTTTTGTCCCTACTAAAACTCATCTTGAAATTTGATCCAACATGGTGGTGTTAGGAGAATGGGGTATGGACCTAATGCAGAGCTTTCATGAATGACACTGTTCTTTTTTTTCTTCTTTTTTCTAAAAACAAAGTCTCAATTTGTCATTCAGGCTAGAGAGCAGTGGCACAATCATAACTCACTGCAGCCTTGAACTCCTAGGCTCAAGCAATCCTCCTGCCTCAGCTCTCAAGTAAAGATGCAAGCCACTACACCCAGCCCTGGTGGTACTCTTGCAGTAGTGAGTGAGTTCTCACTCTGGCAAGACTGAATTAGTTTCCTCAAGAGTGTGTGTTATGAAGCCAGAATATCCCTCAGGTCTTCTCTCTTTGCACGTCTGCGTCCCCTTTGACTTTCTCCACCATGTTATGACCCAGCATAACCAGAGGCCCAAGACATGCCCTTGAACATGCCGGACTGCAGAACTGTGAACCAAATAAGCCTATTTTCTTTATAAAGTAACCAATCTCAGTTATTCTGTTATAGCAATCCTAAACAGGCTAAGAGAGTTAATCTAGCTAAAGGTTTGGCAATTTTGTTGGTCTTTTCAAAAAACTAACTTTTAGTTTTAATTGATTTTCTCTATATTTTTTTTCCCATTCCCTCTTTGATCATTTCCTTTCCTCTTTATGCTTTGGGTATAGTTTGGTCCTTTGCACCCACATGGTTTTGTTGTTGTTTGTTTGTTTGTTTATTTTGAGTTGGTTTCTCACTCTGTCATCCAGGCTGGAGCACAGTGGCATGCTCATGGCCACCACAACTTCGACCACCTGGGCTCAGGCAATCATTCCAGCTCAGCCTTCCAAGTGGCTGGAACAATAGGCATGTTCCACCACACCTGGATAATTTTTTATTTATTTATTGTCAAGACAAGGTCTCGCCAAGTATCCCAGGCTGGTGTCAAACCCCTGGGCTCAGGCAATCCTCACACTTCTGCCCTCCCAAAGTGCTGGGATGACAGGCATGAGCACCGTGCCCAGACTACCCCCATGGTTTTAAGGTAAAAAGTTGAATTATTGACTTGAGATCTTTTTTTAATGCAGACATTTAAGCTCTAAATTTCTCCCAAAACTGCTTTAGCTACATTTCATAACTTTTACTATGTTGTTTAATCATTTTATTAATCTCAAAGTATCTACTAGTTTCTCTTTTGATACCTTTTTGTCCATTGGCTATTTAGGAGTGTGTTGTTCGTTTCCATGTACATGAATTTCCCAAATTTCTTTCTGTTATTAATTTCTAACTTCATTCTATTGTGATCAGAGAACATACTTTGTATGATTTCAACCTTTTTTACATTTATTGAGATTTGTGTTATGCCCTTGTATCTGGTCTATCACAGAGAATATTCTAGCCCTTCAGAAGAATTTGTTGTATTCTTCTGTTCTTGGGTGGAATGTTTTATAGAGGTCTGTTAGGTCTAATTGGTATATACTGTTACCCAAATCTTCTATTTCCTGTTTATATTCTGCCTATTTGTTCTGTCCATTGTTGAAAGCAAGGTATTGAAGTCTCCAAATATTGTTGACTTCTCTATCTATTTAATTCTGAAAGTTTATCATGCATTGGTTCTTTGAAATATATATATTTGCAATTGTTATATATTCCTAATGGATTTGCCCTTTTGTCATTATAAAATTTTCTTCTTTATATTACTGACCACTTTGTCTGGTAATAGTGTAGCCACTGCAGCTTTCTTATTTGTTGTTGTTTGCTTGGTATACCTTTTTTCATCCTTTTACTTTCAACCTATTTATGTTTGAATCTGAAGCATATCTCCTCTAGACAGCATATAGTTGGGTCTTGTTTGTTTTTTTTTTAATCTAATCTGTCAATGTTTGCCTTTTGATTACAATGTTAATCCATTTCACTTTTAATGTTCTTATTAATATGATTGGATCTGTATCTGTCATTTTACCTTTTTTTCATATATCTCATGACTACTTTGTTCCTCTATTCCTTCTTTACTGCTGTTGTTTATAAATGAATATTTTCCAGTATAATATTTGTATCTCACAATGATTTTTTTGCAGTATATGTTTTGAAGGGTTGGGTTTTTTTTTAGCATTTTCTCTAATGTTTACCATATATTCATTTATAAGAATTTACTTCAGATTTATACTAACTTAATTCTAGTGGGCTATGGAAATATGACTCCTATATAATTCTATGTGCTCTTCCCACTTTTTGTTCTATTATTGTCATACATATCTATATGTTACAAATTGAATAGTACAATATTTTTAATTTATGTAATTTTATGACCAATAAAGTAGCTGAAGGAGGAAATAAGAGTAAGTATATATTTAGAGTGTTTGTTATATTAATATTTATATTACCATTTCTGGTTATCTTCATTTGTTTCTGTGGATTTAAGTTACCATCCTGTGCAACTTTGCTTCCACCCATCACCTTTGTGCTGTTATTGTTGGTTATGTTACATTTATATATGTTATAGGACCCAACAATACAATTTTAAACTATTGTCTTACACCCTTGCTTTTTAAAAAAATATATATTATTTTTAGAGATAGAGTCTTGCTTTATTGCCCAGGCTGGTCTCAAACTTCTGGTCTCAAACAACCTTCCCACCTTAGCCTTGCAAGTAGCTGGAATTGTACACTTGCACCATTGCACCTGGCTTACAATTTTTAAATCAGCCAAGAAAAGAAAGGAAAATAAATATACACTTATACTGTCCTTTATAATTACATAATTGTCTTTACCAGTTCTCTTTGTTTTACTTGTGGTTTTAAATTACCATCTTAGGTCTCTTGTTTTTAACCTGAAAATTTTTCTTTAAAAATTTAAAGAATTTAAATTTGGCATGCTCATAGCGATTGCAGCCTCAATCTCCTAGGCTTTCTTATAAGAAAGGTCTGTTTGCAACACATTATCTCTGTTGATGTGCATCTGAGAATGTCTTCATTTAATCTTCATTTTTGAAAGACAGTTTTACTGTATATAAAATTCTTGGTTCCCAGGTTTTTTTTTTCTTTCAGTGCTTTGAATATGCCATCAACTGTCTTTTGGTCTTCATTCTTTATGATGAGATGTTTCTATTAATGTTATTGAGGCTCCCTTGTACATGACAAGTTGTTTTTCTCTAGCTGTATTCAAGATTTCCTTTTTG